AGATTCTCCAGCATCTGCAGTTCCTACTATCTCTGAAGCTAGAATGATTGCTCGTTTCCCTTACCAGCATGTAGGGCTTTCTTCCTTTGTAGTTCATTTGATCTCTTGCCACTATCTGCGCTGTAAATGTGGTACCTGTCCCTGTGGTTTCTGTGTGTAGCTAGTGTCCAATCCACAGCTGATTTGGGTCTCAAAAGTGCATTAGCATTTAAAGAATGCAGCTGGGATGTATTGTCACTCCTCGTTCGATCATCAGTAGTGATTCTGCAAGGACAAAAGCATAATAGTTTTTACAACCACTTTGTCTTACTGAAATGACTGTGAGTGCATCATGCCATGATATTGTTTATTAGCCCAACCAAAACATCCAAACCAGTTATTTTTATAGTTACATAACAGTGCTATTCATAATCCTGCACAATATTGGATTTGAGGATCCCTTGGAATGAGTCACTCAGTTGTTCTGCAAATGTTTGCATGATTTTCAGGACTTTTTGAACTCTGGTCATTATCAAAGGATAGATCAGGGCATTTTTTAGATAACCATAGAATCCATACAGTGTGGAAACAGGCTCTTCGGCCCAACAAGTCCACACTGACCCTCACAGCATCTCACACAGACCCATCGCCCTATACCCCACCTAATCTACACATCCCTGAACACTACAGGCAATTTAGCATGGCCAATTCACCTAATCTGCAATCTTTGGACTGTGGGAAGAAACCGGAGCACCCGGAGAAATCCCACGCAGACACAGGGAGAATGTACAAACTCCACACAGCCAGTTACCCGAGGGTGGAATCAAACCCGGGTCCCTGGCGCTGTGAGGCAGCAGTGCTAACCACTGAGCCACCGTGCCTCCTTTAAATGAATGAGCCTATTTAATGCAATGGATATTTTTAGATTTGCATTTTCTAGAGTTAGGTTTCATTGTCACGTGTACTCAAGTACAGGGTACAAGAGTACAGTGAAAAGTTTACAACATCGCCACACTGCGTTATCTTAGGTGCAAAGTACCTATATACGAAATCTTAGTTATAGAAATAAAAAAAATAAAGAAATGAGTTTAAAAGTTCCACACTGCAGTCTTCTTAGCATAAAAGTAGAAAAATAAAGAAATAAAATTAAAATATCAAACATTACAGCCCTTTCTCAAGCCATGGGCTTGCAGATACTCCTGGGCTCGCTCTCCCCCGTGCTGGGCATGCTTTCACCCACACTGGACTAAGACCAGCCCGGGCACGCCAGACTTCGTCATTGCACAAGGCTTCAAACCCCCACCGCCGTTGCCGTAATCCTTCACAGCCGGATGCTCACACGTATAAATCTTTAAAAATGTCATGAACGCTTGGAGAAAATTTCAATAAAGCTAATGGAATGCTGGCGTTCATACCTAGATGACTGCAGTACAAGGATACAGAGGTCATGCTGCGGTTATACAAAACCCTGGTTAGACCCCATGGAGTACTATGAGCAGATCTGGGCACCACGTCTTAGGAAGGATATATTGACCTTGCAGGGAGTACAACATAGGTTTACAAGAATGATACTTGGACTTCAGGGGTTAAGTAATGAGGAGAGATTATGCAAATTTTGCCTGCTTTCTCTAGAGTTTAGAAAGTCAAGGGGTGATCTGATTAAAGCCTCCAAGATATTAACAGGCAGGCAAGTCAGGGTAGACAATTTTAAACTATTTCCACTGGTTGAGGATTCTAGAACTAGGGAACATAGTCTGAGAATTAGGGCCAGACCATTCAGGAGGGATGTTAGGAAGCACTTCTGCACAAAACAGGTGGAACTCTCTTCCACAAATGGCAGTGAATGCTGGATTGCATGTTAATTTTATATCGGGGATAGATAAATGTTTGTTAAGCAAAGATATTGATCAATGTGGGCCAAAGGCAGACATGTGGAATTAGGCCACAGATCAGCCATGATCTCATTGAAGGGTGGAATAGGATCGAGGGGCTGAACAGCCTACTCCTGTTCCTATGTTCCCACTGTAATACACAAACCTGAAAAAACTCCACAGAGGCCAGTATCTCGTCACCAAGTCACCCTTTATCTACATGTGGAGAGTCCTTGACACTGATCCAGCTCCCTCAGAGCCAGCTTTCAGAGTGAACAGAACCTCTGACTCTCCTGGATCAGATTAACATCCCCAATCAGGGAACTCATATTCTATGAGGTTCACCCGGCTGACCTCAATACGATCACTACAGAATGTGGTATACCAAGGATCTACAAACAACAATGGCATAAACAACTGGATAATGGTGCTCTACCAAACAGTTGGGGATAATGATGCAAGATTAATCTGCCCCTGTTAAATACAATGCAGCCTGCTCATTAAGATAATTTGCTGTAAATTCACTGTCTACAAAATAAACAACTGCAAAGGGTCCAAGATCGTTATTTACTAGCACTGTGCAAATCTAACTTGTACCTGTTAAAGGAAGATAGATTGTGTCTTCTAGAGATGATGATATTAGTTGTGTGTTAATTATATTAAGCTACACAAGTGAAGGGAATTCATTAATACATACCTAGAATACATATGAAGACACAAGGCTAGAAGGTAACAATCAGGCATACATAATGCTGAATTCTGTGAATAAGGCCACTATCAAAGTATTAATGTCTTATTTTCTATTTCACCAACTGGCTTGGAATTCAATAAACCAGCAGAGACCAATGGGAATACTGTAATGTACAAAAATGGTCATCATGGCACAGAGGGAGAGAACATGCATCAAGATGTTGGATGTTGCACTAGAATCCTTACTGGTGAAGGTGAAAACAAGGAGATCTGTCCCATCAGCATAAGATGGTGGGTTAGCAGGAGTGGGAGACCTTCCACATACATGCTCAAAAGGCAGTAGGAAAAGTTAGCAGCAGAGCTTAATGTCAGGTCAAGTCCAGAGGATCTGAATGCAGTACCACAAGAAATCTGATGACTTTAAAAGGTAGCCGAGTCACAAAATGCATTTTAAACTGTCATATCCTATCAATGCAGTATTACTTTCAGGCACTGCTTAATTCACCATACCCATCACCTACCTATCAATTATCACTATCTTTCAGGACTCAGACCTTAATGCATACCTTCACTTCAACTTCACAGTTTTAGCACTACTATAAGCCTAACACTCACATTTCTCATCTTGTGCACACAGCAGTTGAAAGTTCCATCCAAGGATCTGCACTGTCTGTTCAGTTTATTGATTATGATCCAGTGACTTGTGGATGGTTTGTGATTTTCCACAAGGTCCTACACCTTGGTCTCCATTCATAAATACTACAGTTTAAAAACAACAAAGCAGCAAGGATCCAAACTGTTGGAGTATTAACACATGATGCCACACCCTGGTAGGCTGCAGATTCACTTGTATCCTTGCTTATTTCTGTCCTCGGCTTTTTATCAAAGGGACATGCCAGGAAGAGAATTAATACATGCCACGTTCTTTATTGGACAAGTGGATTGGCATTTCAAGAACAATTTGAGTTCTTCCAACAAAAGTTTTGGACCAGTTGCAGGCTCAGTCATGCAGTCTTTTGCCATATTGCACATGTTTTCAACTTCAAAGATTGCATAAAACTTAAAGGAAAATCAGTTTCTCAACAATAAATGGCAGGTCAGAAGATTGGATAAAATATTTTGCAAAAAAGGAAAGACTGACTGAAAGATTAACAAAGATGTGCAAGTTAGTATAAGAGGGAAAGCTAGCTAGAAATAGAAAAACAAAGAGTAAGAGTTTCTATAAATTTTGAAAAAGATAAGCTAACAAAGTAAGCTAACAGGCTCAAAAGGCTGAATGGCTTACTCCTGTCCTAAAGTGAGTGTGGCTCCCTTAGAAAGGGAGTTTGGAGAATTAAAATGGAAAATAAGGAGATTGCAGGCACATTAAACAACATTTTTCACAGGTTTTCACTATAGAAGACACAAGTAACAGCCCTGAAATAGATATATATCAGAAGATGAAGAGAGGGAGGAACTCAAGAAAATTATAATCGCCAAGAAATGATGCTGAGAAAATTGGTGGAACTGATGGCTGGCAGCTCCCTGTCTTCTGGTGGATTTCATCCTAGGATCTTAAAAGAAGTGGCTCTATAGATAGTTGATGCATTGTTTTTTTTTCCCAAATTTCATAGATTCAGGGAAGGTCCCATGAGATTGGAAAATGGCAAATGTTGATGCTTTATTCAAAATGGGGAAAAAACAGAAGGCTAGAAACTACATTCCAATTAGCTTAACCCCAGTCATAGGGAAGATGTTAGCAGCTATTATTAAAGATTTTGTATTAGGACACTTGGTTGAGCGAATTTATCGGAGTTTCATTTTGAAGAAGTAACATGTGATGTAGGTAAAGAGGAACCAGTGTACATACACTACTTAGATTTCTGGAATATTTCATAGGTATCACATCAAAAGTTATTGTGGGAGAATAAAAGCTCATGGTGTCGATGTAACATATTGACAATAAGAGAAGATTGGCTAGCTAACTGCAAATAGGGAGTAGTCATAAATTTTCTGGTTGGCAAGATATAACATGTAGTATGCCACAAGGCCTCAACTTTTTACAATTTGTATGCAATTATCTGGATGAAGAATCTGAAGGTATGGTTGCTAAATTTTCATGTAACACAAAGGTAAGTAGGAAAGTAAGTTGTGAAGAGGGTATAAGGAAGCTAAAAATGAAACAGGCTAAGTGAATGGCAGAGAACTAGCAAATGGGATATAGTGTGGATGAACATGAAATGGTCCAAATTAACAAGAATATTAAAAAATCATATTATCTAAATAGCGAGAGATTGCAGAGCTCTGAGAATGTAGAAAAATCTGGGTATACTAGTGAACGAAAAGTATAACGTTAGTATGCAAATACAGCAAGTAATTGGAAAGTTTACAAATGTTATTGTTTATTGCAAGGAATTGAAAACAAAAGTTATGCATTAGATTTACTTGGTATTTTTGAAACCAGTTCTAGAGTTTTATGTATAGTATTGGTCCACTTTTTAAGGAAGAGCATAAAGGAGTTTGAAGCAATTCAAAGAAGGTTTACTACAGTAATTCCTGGAGTGGGCAGGCTGTCAAATGAGGAAAGGTTGGACGGGCTAGGCCTTGATTCCTTGGAGTTCAGAAGAGTGACAGATGACTTAATTGAAACATATAAGATCCTGAGAGGTCTTGTCAGATTGGATGTAAAGAAGACGTTTACTCTGATGAGAAAATCTAAAACTAGAGGTCACTGTTTAAAAATAAGGAGTCACCCATTTAAAATAGAGATTAGGAGAATTTTTCTCTCAAAAAGAGTTGAATAGTTTTAGATCACTCATCCACGAAAGGTTGTTGTAGCAAATATTTTGAATATTTTTAAGGCAGGGATAGATATATTCTTGATAAGCACATGGGTGAAAGATTACTGTGGGTCAGTATGGGTATGGGGATTAATTAGATCAGCCATGACTTTATTGAACAACAGAGTAGATTCAAGGGGCCAAGTGGCCTACACCTGTTCATAATTCATTTGTTCATATGTTTGTATGTTCTCTGAAGTTCTGGGGACTGGGGTTCAAATCGTACTTTGGGAGATGGTGAAGTTTTGAATTCAACAAGGAATCTGGAATTAAAAGTCTAATGATGACATGAAACCACTGTTAATTGTTGGAAAAACTCATCTGTGTACAGAAATGTTCTTTAGTAAGGATATCTATCATCCTTATTTGGTCTGACTTACATGTGACTCTAGACCCACAGCAGATGATTGACTCTTAACTGCCCTCTGGACAATTAGGGGTGAGCAATAAATGCTGGCCTAGCCAGAGACACCCATATCCCATGAGTGAATAAAAACAAAACATTTTTACCATTTTCACAATATATTATGTGTTTGATATAAGTAAACCTGTCACACTGTAATCATATAAAGTTGCCGAGGGATAATATTTCTGTAAAAACTGAAACAACTGTGGATGCTGTAAATTAGGGACAAAAACAAAGTTGCTGGAAAAGCTCAGCAGGTCTGGCAGCATCTGTGGAGGAGAAAACAGAGTTAACGTTTCAGGTCCGGTGACCTTTCCTCAGAACTGAGGAAGGGTCATCAGACCCGAAACGTTAACTCTATAATATTTCTGTAATTCATTTTAACCACTTTGCTTCCCTTTATTAGTGTCTTCGTGAAGCAGGGTAAATTATATTAAACAGCATAAAACAAAAAACTGCAGATGCTGGAAATGTGAAAGAAAAACAGAAATTGCTGGAGAAACTCAGCAGGTCTGGCAGTATCTGTGGAGAGAAAGCAGAGTTAATATTTCCAACTAAAGGAACAGGAACTGAAAAATAAAAACTAAAAGAACTGCGGATGCTGTAAATCAGGAACAAAAACAGAAGTTGCTGGAAAAGCTCATCAGGTCTGGCAACATCTGTGAAGAAAAAGTCAGAGTTAACGTTTCGGATCCAGTGGCGTTCTGAGGAAGGATCACTGGACCTGAAATGTTAACCCTGATTTTTTTCTTCACAGATGCTGCCAGACCTGCTGAGCTTTTCCAGGAACTGAAAAAGGGTCACTGGACTTGAAATGTTAACTCTGGGGAACTTATTTCAATTCTCAAAGGTCCATTTAACACAAAGCACAACTGTGACAAAGGTTGATGTCAGGAATTTGAACTTACTCGTGCTTTGGACCCATTTCATCACCATTGTGATACCAGTCCAACATTACACATTCAGCATACAGCTTTTCTACCTTCTCCAAATCGTTTCTTCCCTTCTCCATTTCTTTCTTCAAAAGGCAGATATCTTCACTCTGAACAATTCAAATTAATTCAGTTAATCAACACAAGGACCACTGTTGACTAAAGAAAATTCAGATTTATTATGAAATGAAGAGATTGGGATTAAACAAGTACTTTGATTTGCCATTAGTTACAATTAAACACAAAAAAGTACCTACTTGAATAACAATCCCACTGATTAAAAAAACATGATTGATCCCATTCTCCTTCTTATATACTTGTGCATAAGAATTAGTCTGATTTTCTATGGATGTATCTTAACAGAATATAATAATTATAATAACATAACTTGGATCAGTTAGAGAGCAAGTTCTGCAAATAAATAAAAATCCTCTGTCTAATTTTTGAATATATTGGCAAATTAATTACCAAAATAGATCACTCATTACCTTACTAACTTGGTGAATTTACAGTAATGAGAAGGCAACATTAACGAAAGCAAAGCAAAATAACAAACTGTCCAGTTTTAGAAATGCTATGATGAAGATGACAGCTGACATATAGGCTTTGTAAATCTGGTTCCCAAGCCTCCTCGATGCTCTTTCTAACAGGTTTCTGATGATGAACCTCTATTTCGTGTTTTGTGTTTCTTTCTTTGAAACATTGATTTATCTTTTACATATTAAATCATGGCCTTTCCTATGGCAGGACCTTGGAGATTTCCTGGAGTGAAGGAAGTAATAATGTCCACGGCAGGCCCCAAACAGTGTAATGCAACCTTTTAGTAGCTCACTTCATTGTGGGCAGATGAAGGACATAGCTGTAGAATTAAACTCCAGTTTCATTCTTTTCCATTGGTTCCTGGCCTATCATTGTATGAATATTTGAATTGCTCTCTGAAGTGGCCGCAGTGAGTCACTCAGTTCAAGCAGCAATTAGGGATGGGCAATAAAAGCTGGCTTAGTCAGCAACGCCCACATTCTCTGAATGAATAGAGAAAAGGTCTCTCAACTGAAATGTGAGATGGAAGCTTCTCCTAGTGGTGAGGTTTTGGCATTGGGACAGAAGTCTGCCAATTAGATAGGCATTGGTGAAGAGCATGGCCAATGGTGCAGTCGAGGAGGAAGGCAGGAACCTGTCACCTGTTACCATCTGCACATCCATCCTGAGCCCTCCAATTATCCATTACCTCTTTCCAACCAGCCCTGTCCAGGAGACCCATTCTCCGCCCAGAAACATTATACCCTCACCTATGACACTCGGGACGTCCCTCCTCCTCTCCATGTTCCTGAATCCTTTCCATCCCTCCATGCTTCAGGCTAGCCTTCCTGTATACTTCCCTCCCTGCCTCATATATCTCTACCCATGCCTCCCTCCATCCCTGGTCAACCGTGCACAGATACATTTTGCCTCATGGCCTGATCTCAATCGTGGCCTGTCAAAGATCAATCAATGCTCCCCAAGGCTGAGAGGATAGCTGCTCATCACTCGACCTCCAGCAAGTACACAGTCCTTGTCTGTTGCACAATAGAAATGTGCATTTAATTGTGGCGAGATTGCTTTTTAATGAACATGCATGAGGTACGAATGCATGGATTTCCCAATGCTTCCCAAAGCTTGAGACACCATCAAACTCCGAGAAATGAACACTGTTGTTTCATCCAACCGTTGGGAAGTTGACTTGGGGCCACCTACACAATTCCCCAGCCCCCTCCCCAGCGGATACCCACTCCCAGGAGAAGTGGGAGATTTTGCCCATGAACTCTGTCTGTCTGTCTCTCTCTCTCTCTCTCCACAGATGCTGCTAAATTTGTTTCTCATCGTAGGTTGCCAGCATACACAGTATTTTGTTTTAGTTTCATCAATTCCTGTGAAGCACCTTCAAGCATTTAATGCCAACAAATGTGAGTTATTAAATATAAAATCACAAGAGGTATCAAAATGCATTTTACCCTCTTGCTATAGAGTTTCTGAAGGATTTGAAATATTTTTCTTCACTTCCAGTGTTGGAAACTCCTTACCTCAAATGGCGGAGGGTTAGTAGGCACTGTCATATCACTGTTATAGCAATGGAATCGTCCACCTGTCTTCTCAGACAACTCATATAAGAACTCATTGGCTTCAACATCATTGCAGTTAAATGCAATGCAATGAATAGGGACAAGGCAGATGAGCTGTACCTGAGCAATAACGGTTTTTGGATGCTGTATTTGATAATAAAATATAAAGCAAAATTAACTGTTAATTTAAATGACCAGTCAAAATAAAAGTGTTACCTTAACATGAGAGCCCTCTATTCGAGGGAAGAGCAAGTCTACATTTCAGTTAGTGTGCATCTACAGATATTCAACAGTATTCTATTTAATTTAACTGAACAAGCATGTATAACTCTCAACTTTAAATGTGACATTGACCAGGACTTTGTCAAGCTGTCTGGGTCTCACTTAATGGTCAGGGAACCCACGGGGAGAGCCCATCAGTTCTATGGGGTAGGTCAATGGAATCTAGTTTCCAAGCACTTCATTTGCCACCGTTGGGTCTTCCCTGTGGCTTGGGGTGCCCAGTAATGGAAGATGCACTCATTGAGAGCTGCAGGCAAATCAAAGGATATCATCTGCTCATTACCTTCAGTCTGAGGGGTGACATCTAGAAACGATGAACCGATTCATTCCCCTCCCCTCACAAACTAAGGGTGAGTGCAGGAGCTGGGATGTGGGAGGGGTGTGTTTGCGGAGTGGTGATCACGGGTGGGATGAGCTGGTTGACAGTCAGAGGCAAAGGACTGCTCTTTCAGTTTCCTGCCCCTTTTCCCAATGCCAGTTCCCTTGTTCAGGCACTAAGCATCTGAGGGCAAGGGATCCCATTCCCTCCTGCCCCCACTGAGAGGCAGCTGACAGGGATTGTGGGCTGCCTTCCAAGGATATGGGACAGCCACATGGCTCCAGATACTTTTTAATCAACCAGTTCAGAGTTTCCTTGCACTGAGATTGAATCTGGGCCTCCTGGTCCAGAGGTAGGGACACTGCCGCCGCACAAAAGAAAGCAATCAGCCACCCAGCTCCATTCAACGGAGTCAATTGATTTCGGTAATGAGTCTGATTGACAAGCTGCTGCTGTAGGCTGGAAATCCCCCATCAGCCCTTTCTGCCCTTCGACCTAAACAGTCCCAAGAGATTGGTGTGGTCGGAGCCCCTTGTTTCCTGATGCGCTGGGGTGTATTGTTTTGTATTGATGAACCAGGGACACAGTGGTCAACAGATGCTCGATGCCACTCAATGATTGCCCTGGTGATCCAAACTGCTTCTGCAGGAAGAGCACCAGATCCAGTGAGAAGGTTTACATGCCTCTGAGATGAAACGGACCTTTATTTAAATTATTTAATCCCCTCTCCATGTCTGTCTGGAGCAAAACACAAATGATGCAAAATCTTTTCACTCAGAATCTGTGCAACTCTCGTCCACAACATGTGTTGGAAGCAGATTCGTTGAGTATATTTAAGGCCGAGGTGGATAGATCATTGTTGAGCAAAGGGGGTTGAAAGGTTTTATGGGGCAGGCAGGTAGGTGGATTTGAGGTTACAATCAAATCAGCCAATGAGTGGTAGAGCAGGCTCAAGAGGCTGAATGGCCTCACTCCCTACCAATCCCCACCACTCCCTACCTGCATTCACTTATCACTATTCCACCTACCTTCCCCAGCCCCACCCCTCCTCTCTCTATTTATTTCCCAGCTCCCTTCCCCCTCTCCATTTCTGAAGAAGGGTCCCGACCTGAAATGTCAACTTTCCTGCTCCTCTGATGCTGCCTGACCTGCTGTGTTCCTCCAGCTCCACACTGCGTTATCTCTGACTCCAGCATCGGCAGTTCTTGCTACCTTTGACACAGTGAGAGGCTGTTTCTATTGGCTGCAGAGTTGAGAACCATGGTCTCAGAATAAGATGTCAGATGTTTTGGAATGGGATGAAGGGAAATGTCTTCACTCAGAAGGTTATGAATCATTGGAACTTTCTACCACAGAGCTATGAACATATACTCAGTAACTGTCTAGTCAATACTGAGATTGATATATATTTTTGGGCAGTAAAGGAGTCAAAGGATATGGGGATAGGTTGGGAAAGCGGAATGGATGTGGTCACGATCTAATGAAACAGACTTTGCCTTTCAGAACTAACAATCAAAACTGAAACAGTATAATCAGAGCTCAAAACTGCAAACTCATGAGGAACCACAGGTGTTACTTTCTCTTATTGACATTTGATATTCTCAACTGAAGATAAGTGACATTCAACTGGAATGCTCAGTAAAGTTTAATGCTGTGAAAAGCTTATGAACATACAAAATAGGAGCAGCAGTAGGCCATTCGGTCTCTCATTGTTGATCTGTTTGTGTTTTGGAATTCACATTTCCAACTATCCAAGATAACCTTTGATTCCCTTGACTAACAAGGACCTATCTACTAATGCCTTAAAAATATTCAATGGGATCAGCAGTTAGCACTGACCCCTCAGTGATTAGCGCTGCTGCCGCACAGCACCAGGGACCCGGGTTTGATTCCACCCTTGGGCAATTGTCTATATGGAGTTTGCACAATCTCTCTGTGTCTGTGTGGGTCCCCTCAGGGTGCTCTGGTTTCCCTCCACATTCCAAAGGTGTGCAGGCTAGATGGATTGGCTGTGCTAAATTGCTCGGAGTGTTTGGGGATGTGTAAATTAGGTGGATGGGTCTGGGTGGGATGTCAGAGGGTCAGTGTGGACTTGTTGGGCCAAAGGGTCTGTTTCCACACTGTAGGGATTCTATGACCCCACGTCTAATGACTTCTGAGACAGAGAGTTCAAAAGCTACACAGCCTATGACAGAAAAACATTATCCTCATTCTATCCTGAAAGAACAACCTCTGGCTCTCCACTCACCCACAAGAGGAAACATCCTTTCTACATCCAGCTTGTGAACACAATTCTGGATCTTGCACATTTCCTCTCATTCTGCCAAACTCCAGTGAAATTGTAATAACAAAGTCACTCATTTTGAGGCAATGTTAACACCTTTAGATTTTATTCAACGAATATGGTGTTGAGGTTTTTTTTCTGTGCAGCACCGTACCTGGTCAGGTCTTCCATCAGTGAGGAGGTAAACAACTTGAGTGCCACCATCAGCAAGAGCAAGTCGTATAGCTTCCAAAGTATTTGTGGAACCCCCGACCTGTACAGAAATACTGCATTGCTCAACCTGAATTTCTTAAAAAGCAATTGAAATTTGACAATACCACAATTACATTAATCCATATAAGGCATGACTCAAGAGATCTTTCCACTGCCGTGTTCGGCGAAGTGAAAGCACCAAGTTACCTGCACTTTCCACCAAAATTACCTCAGCAGAATCGGAGCCACTTATTGATTAAACACACGTGTATAAGAGTAAGTTATATTCTCAAAGCGAAGCACCTAACAAATGCATCCCCAAGGTGTGGAGGTGCCAGTATTGGACTGGGTTGGACAGGGTCAAAAATCAAAGACACCAGGTTATAGTCCAATTGGTTTATTCGAAAACACTAGCTTTTGGAACATTGCTCTTTCATCTGGTGTAGTGAGAGAGCCATCAAGACACAGATGCCTCTCTCACTACACCTGATGAAGGAGCAATGCTGCAAAAGCTAGTGTTTTCAAATAAACCTTTCGGACTATAATCTGGTATTGTGTAATTTTTGACCAACCGCAAGGTGGCAGCACTGAGATGGAGCATTCACTATGTTAAAACGTGTTATTGCAATCACATCTAAACCGTAGCTTGTGGGTTTTACTCAGACTGTGAGTATGGCTACAAGGGCCAAGCAACTCAATTTCATTTCCATCTTTCTGTAAAAAAAATTGTGTGATCTTTGCCATAGGCTGAATTAGCTGGTTTAAGTCTGAACTTCAATTATACAACATGCCAGACAAGGTGCAGGGAAAATAACCTGAGAATCTGACAATTGCTATCCAGCATCATCAGCTAGAACATGCACGTGTGGAAGTGAGCTGAGGTTAAGATCAAGGAAATTGTCTGCCAACAGTCAACGTATGATCAATTAGTCAGAACTTGTGGAACTGCCAGTCAATAAAATTCAGCATTTGCACGAGAGATAGGAAGAAAACTGGATTCTGTACATTTCAGAATTAACGCTATATTCACTTTTCAGCTAAAATAAAAATGAACACTGCACTGCACAACAATCGTGGGAACAATTTCAGTTCGTTAACTGCAAAGTGTGCTTTCTGATGCTACCGTATTAATCCCTTCAATTAATTCTGATACTGATGGGTCAATCATCTATAAAACCACACAAAACATCAAATAACAAAAACACATCTGCCCTGCCAGACAAATCATACACTTTGCCCAGTTCAAAGCTAATTGCATGACCTCATGATAGTTACAGTCGGCACCTCATCTAATAAAAAAAATTAGCAATAAAATATAAACTAAATGTTATTATCCACAATATTAATGAAGGAACAATTGAAAAAATGTTTCATTAATGAGGAGTAAGCATTTTAATCATCGTACAACTTCAAACATAGAATCTGTATACTTTATTTATGGCAGTATCAGTTATATGGTAATAGCCAGTTGCTAAGTGATAGTTGCCACATGTTGGAAAATACACCTTCAATGTAATCAATAATAAGTGTAGACAATTATCTGTGAACGAATTAGGAAAAATATCACAGGATTCAAATTTTTCAAACAACTTTAACAATCCAAAAGATATGTGACTGAGGCACAAGTTAGGCTAATTTAAACAGCACTGGCTCAATTTAAAGGTGAAGAATCAGAATTGAACATTTATCTCCATGTAGTCTTGGAACAAATTTTAATATCTGAATTCAAGTCACTTGTCACTGGTTGTGACACAAACCTCTGTATCCTATTTAACTGGAAGCGTGAGCAGGGATTTAGAAATAGATCATTTAATAGAACAACAAATCACTCAAACCAGGCTATTGTCACACTGCCTCTCAGTGGTTGGTTCAAGACTGGCAAAGAGTCATAACAAAAGGGAGAAAAGTAGCCATCTCAGAGAGAAAAGGGCAGAGTTTCAGAACTGAACAGCCCTCAGCTGCAGAGGTAGTAGAAACTGAAGATGCTGGAGAATCTGAGATAACAAGGTGTAGAGCTGGATGAACACAGCAGGCCAAGCAGCATCAAAGGAGCAGGAAGGCTGACGTTCCGGGCCTAGACCCTTCTTCAGAAAA